GTACTCCACTTTTTGATACCAGACTTATAGGTTTGAAAGTTTCAAATCTAGCACAACCGGTCATCAAGAGTGGTAGCCGACGTTATGAGGACAATTGAGTGTCAATAGAGGATCATTCATTCTCGGTGTCATGAGAGGAATATCATATGTGTTCTTACTCGGACAAATCCCTAGCCATGGTAATTCAAATTGAGTGAGAAAGAGTTCTTTGAGAGAATCCGATTAGAGTAAGACTCGAGTAGATTTTGTATGTGCTTGACAACACAATGCCCGATATACAATCTTTGAGATATTAGATAGATGATGTACTATAGATACATGGTAACTGAGGATAGATAAGTCTAATGGATTGGATTCTATTGTATCGTCTAGGAACTACAGTGTAATAGCCTAGTATGTCCGTAGTCGATGAGTTGAGTCAATTATTATAAAAGATAATAATTCATTGAGTCAAAAGGAGTTCTGATTGATATAACTTACGTCTAACTCGATATTTGGCCTAAAAGGTCACATATATATGGTAGGTATTACGATGAGTAGAGGTTCAAATATGAGATATCCGTCGGAGCACCTATTTTATTAGATATTTATTAAACCCTTGAATTATTGGATCTTATGGATAAGATCAAATAAGAGCCAATGAGAGATTATTTGGTAGAGATCTACTAATCACGTGGAATGCGTGAAGGAGAATGCGTGAATGAAATGCGTGAAATGAGTCAATAAAGTCGACTCTTTTTTTTATCACGGGGAATGCGTGAAGGGGAAGATCGTACAAACGATTTGAAGAGCGTTTTCATTGTATCTATTACGTGAATCTTGTGCAACGATCGTGAAAAAAAGCTCGTGTTTATCTATTTTGACTTTTTGTGCATATAGACGGATGAAAAATGATTTGGATCTCGTATGAGAATCACGTCGATAGATTCCCTATCAAAAGCATTGAATAGATATCAAGCTACAAATGACATGACAATTAAGATATCTTCGTGTAACCCATCAAATTTGGATATATAAAGATAATTATCTTAATATAACTGCATTCTTTCTTCTAACAAAATGATATAAGATCATGAAAGAAAGATTATAATCTCGACAAAATCTTCAGCACCCTCGAACATTAGCCTCACCCTTTCTTACGCGTTCTTAGCAACTGAAGACAACGTTCTTGGAAGGAAAACTGACAAAATGCTAACCATTTAGCTCAGACAACGTTCTCCGGGGGAGCGATCGAGGTCCGGATCTTCGTCGCGGGGGGAGGCCACGGCGAGATCTCTTCGGTCGACTGCTACGACCCCTCGGCGGACTGGTGGGCGCCAGCAGCTGGGATAGCACGGTGCTGAGGCGGCGAATGTACGTGACGGAGGGCTGGACCTGGCCGTTCGACTCGTCGCCGGGGCGGGGCGGCGTGTACCGTGCCGATCGGGACGCGTGGGAAGAGATGTGGGATGGATGGTCGGGGTCGATTGCGGCGGTGGGCGCGCAGCACTACGTGGTGTCGGGGTGCGGGGACGGGCTGGTGAGCGCGTACGACGAGGCAAGCAACCAGTGGAGAGAGGTAGCCGGCGGCGGGGCGGGGAAGATCTACGAGGTGGGAGGTTGGCTGGACGTCGGAGGAAGAGGAGAGGGTGGTGAAGAGGCCGCCTGCGTTCGCAGAACCTGGACGTCAATGGATCCAACTGGTCCGTCTCATTGCAGATGTTATGGAAGCTTTACTAAGAACACAAGTTTGGTGGAAGCAAAGTTTCGGTAAGGCCTCATAGAATGCAATCAGACAGCGTTGTATCTTAACCAACATTGATGTCATCATCTTTGTTCTATACTGAACTGAGGCTGAGGGAGCGGATGTAATAGAAACACTCATTTCTCTTCTATCTCAGATGCCAAAAATAGCTGAGAAGGAAGGATCTCAACAGGCAAGATGATGAATTATATTAACCATCTAAAAGTCTATTATTTTCCTACTTGAACATAGTGACGATTGTTTCGTTTCCTATTGTTGTTCAAGCACCATTACGGCTGCTTGTGATAGAACAGTATTAGAACTGCAGCTTCAGTGAGTGTATCCTTCTTTTAGTACAGGAAATGAAAGCAACTCGTGCTTCCTTAGTGGAAACTAAACCGATATGGTTTAAGACTAATCTAACTCCCATTAATTTTGGCTGCAGCACATTAGGATAGCTTAGGTTTGATTTTAGTTAAGATGAGCTATAAATTTTTTTATTAATTTTTAAAATAAAAACTTAATGGTTTAAGTAAAGTATTTTGAGTGGTTTAAGCTCAATAAAATCAATAGATAAATTACCCATCGGATCGGATTTTGATAAATATGTATCAAGATTTAATTTAAACAAGGTGGATAGTCAAATATCTAATCGATTTCTTCCCCAAGTCAATGTAAAAGAATCAAGTTGAATTCATTGATAATGAGATTCAAACCGGTTCTCTTTTTGGACGAAAATGAGAAACAAATCTTGTTAAGATGATGACTCGTGTCCTAATTAAGAATTTTGGGAGGCTTATGAGTTGGATGGAATTAGGATTAGCTTTACGACTGGGTCTTCTTCCCAGTTAAGAGACTTCGAGAGCAACATCCGACAGACAATATGGCAGCAGCTAGAAGAGAACCAAGCAGGCCTTTGCAAACCTTGAAATGGGAGTCTCTTGTCCGCGGTTGTCTCCCTTCTTAGTCGACCAGTAAAGACAAGAATTACGTGTTAATCTTCCATAAATGAGTTTACCACACTATTGAAAAGAAATTTGATAAGATATCTATAATATTTTTCAATAACGTTTACAGTGTTTTTAGTTTATCAATAAAATATTATAAATATTATTAAAATATATTATAAATAAATCAAATCAAAATACTATAACAGTTGAAAACTGATAAAAGAATGAACGATAAAATTTTGAGGGTTTTTTAAGATATTTCATTGAATTTAAGATATTATTTTAAAAAATAAAAATATATTTTAAAAATATTCAAAATATAAGTATTTTCCTGAAATACCCCTTCAAGAAAAATATAGAAGAACAAAAGTACCGATCGCACTCGCAGCCAATCCGTGGCCACGCCTCGTGACGCGGATATCCAAAGGGATCACGTGTTATGTCCAAGTAGGTCCCGCGTCGCCCATCACGCCGCGTCCGATTCCCCCCGCCCATTAAGACCCCGGGCCCCATCACCCCCCCCCCGCCGGATCGGCTGCAGGACACTCACAGTCGCCCGTGATGCAATCCTCGCTCATGATGGATCATCAACACGATACGCTTAATTGAACCGCAAACTTTGCAGCCGAGGCTGTAGCAGATCCCAAGACAAGCGGCGTGACGGCAGCCCAGTCGTCATACCGAGCGTGAAACCTGGCGTCGGAGGGACGGAGGGTCGGCTGTCCTCGACAATGGATTTATTAGTGGGACACGTGACAACGTCCAACTTATAATGAACAATATAATCACGTGGTACCGTGGTCACTCACAAACGGGTTTGCTCAACTTGACCACCAAAAGTCACCGGTCTCACGCACGGCTGTGGCTAATCTTGCCGTCTTCTCCGAACTACTTAGTTACTGCAGGATAAACTTGCTCCGTCAAGCACCCACGTGAGACATACGCGACCAGCCGTAACAACTCAGACCAAAAGGTGTGGGTCCCATCTCACGGCTGGCATGGGCGATCCGCTAGCTACACTCGGTTTGGTTCCGAAGTTTTCGTGGCTTCAGGGCTCGCCACGACGCCCTCCTCGCTCGTCACCAACCCGCTCTAATTCCTAAAATAACTTGAAATTAACTGGATTGGGCGTGATTTAAATCAACAAAGAGGAGCAAAACGAGAGAGAGAGAGAGGAAGGAAGGAAGGAGATGGTGAGCGCGAAAGGTGGGTATTGGAGCGGGATCGGGGCGCGGCGGTGCGACTCGTGCAAGTCCGGGCCGGCCCTGGTCTTCTGCCGGGCGGACGAGGCGTACCTGTGCGGCGCGTGCGACGCGCGTGTGCACGGGACCGGGGCGCGACACGAGCGCGTGTGGGTGTGCGAGGTCTGCGAGCAGGCCCCGGCGAGCGTCACCTGCAAGGCCGACGCGGCCGCCCTCTGCGTCACCTGCGACGCCGACATCCACTCCGCCAACCCACTCGCCCTTCGCCACGAGCGTGCCCCCGTCGTCCCCTTCCTCGAGCCGCTCAGGCCCCGCTCTGCCGCCACTGGATTCCCCTTCGGAGTCGCGGCGGCTGACGAGGAGGCCAGCGAGGCGCCGTCCTGGCTCCTCCCGATCCCTTGTGCTAAGGGCAAATCAATGGACCACTTCTTCTCCGACGTAGATCCGTACCTTAATCTGGAGTACGCCACCTCGATCGACGCGCGATTGCAGCAGACGGACGGCGTCGTCCCAGTCGACGCCAAAGATGCCAGTCGAGACGGCGGAGCGCCACCTCCGGGACCGTTCCTCCCGATCGATGGTACGTTCGAGCTCGACTTCGTCGGATCCAAGCCTTCATACAGCCCCTACACCGCTGACTCCCTCAGCCACAGTGTAAGCACGAACCCTAACCTAACTGTCGAGAACTAAGTTACCATGGTTTACATGATCCGATTCCTCTATGACTATCGGAGCAGGTCTCGTCCTTGGAGTTCGGGGTGGTGCCAGACGGAAGCGGCGGTATAGCGAAGGGGACGAAGGCGGACGCCACGGGTCCGAACTATGGCGGCGGTGGAGGGAGGGCTGCGGACAGGGAGGCGAGGGTGATGAGGTACCGGGAGAAGAGAAAGAACCGGCGGTTCGAGAAGACCATCAGGTACGCATCCCGGAAAGCCTACGCCGAGACGAGGCCGCGGATCAAGGGAAGGTTCGTGAAGCGGTCGGAGATCGAGCCGGAGGAGGTCGTCCGGACGTACTCGCCGGCCGTTGTGGCGGCTCTCATGGCGGATCCCGGCTACGGCGTCGTGCCCTCCTTTTGAGGAATCTCCCCCCTCCATCTCGCCACCGTGTGTTAACTATCAATGCTTTTATGTAGGATTTTTTTCTTCTTCTTATTTTCCCCTAATTTGTATATTATTATTACTACTGTTGTTATTATTGTGCCGAGAAAAATTAGGCTCACTGCGTTGAGGAATAGAATAAAAGGTGATGCTTGCGCCTTTAAGATTGGGGTTGGGAAGTAAGATCACAAGACACTATTTGGGATGATGGGATGCCATATAATTATAGAAAATATGGCACAGTATTACCAAAGGTTCGGTTCATATGAAGGACACAGATGATTACACCTTGGAACCTACTTGAGAGGTTCCATGTCTGAACTCTGTAACATTCACATCAAGTTATAGAGCTTTGTTTGGATTGCAAACATCAACAAGAATATAAGCAATCCAGAGGAGAAGTTCCTCCTGCTTGTGTGCTTTGCCTTTGTTGAATAGGCTTTGAACTGGCCATTGTAGAGCTTACCTTTGAATATTTTGCCCATCCTAACTCTAGCCACCTATTGTCTGGTTTCAGATATGAATGTATCAGTATAAGGAAAATTCCATGAGAAAAGCCCATAATTAATGTAATAGCTTTCATATTTAGAAGGCAAAGATGCAGTTCAAATTGCTGACAGAATCCTAGTGTAGACATGCAATCATTCAGATAGAAGGCAAAATCATGATTTCTATCTGAAGTTTCTGAAATGGTACAAAAAGTTGATATATATATATATATATATATATATATATATATATATATATATATATATATATATATATATTGGATAATGGTTTATTTGGTCATGTATATCTAAGATGAGCAGATAAGTAACTACATAAAATACTGTTGGAATTAGAATCAGTATAAAATGCCAAAAAGTTGGGAGTATGTACATTCTCACCTGAATGGAGATTACTTGTTCCCACCAAAGCCTTCAGTCTTAGTCTTCGGTATAGCAAGAAAATTAGCATTCTTTTCCCATCAAATCCTCAGTGCAGTGAAACAAGAACAAAATTGCATTGCTATGCCTGCGAGTCCAAATGCTGGATGCACCAACAGTCCATCAAGAACACTGATTCAGTTGGACCACTCTTGTAGACGCTCTGAGTAGAATGCTTCATCTCTCTTTGTTGACAGAAAGAAAATGATCAAACTTAATCTGGAAAAATATAACACTAACAAAATTTTGGAGCATAAAAGAAGCTGCTATCCCATTATAAACAGTAAGATTCCTCTGTTACTATACTAAAAAAAGTGAACAGAATGGAATGAGGTATATAGGCCAGGAACTTTAAATTTGAAAAATTGAAGCTTAACCTCCTGTGACGTAGGGAATCGGTTTCCTCGAGTGCTACCTCATCAGAAGACTTTCCAATGCTGGAACTAATCTGCTGCTTCCAACTTCACCTAGAGTAAAACATATGAGAATTTAGAATGTTTCAAGTAGAGTACTTGACAGCCTCGAAAGAGGGCCGTGGTTGCTACCTCATGACCTTGAGTCGAAAGTTCATCATCGAATAGCCTGGATTCAGAGTTAAAGGCTGTGCGCCAGGAGCTCTGTACTAAGCCAACCACTATTGCTGCTAATAACTATAATATCAAATACCGAAAGAGGTCTAAAAAAAGAGGTCCAAACCAAACAAAAACCAACAAAATTCAACTCCTAGAGAAACTGATTATTTTGTAATATTTTTATAACAAAATCCTTGAGCAGATTCAGGAAGGGAGAACAGCCAAAAAATATTCAGGCTAGCCTAGTGAGTGGAACCTCAGCCACTAGAAGAAGTTTCATGTTAATATCTCAGGGATGGCTCCCAAGTATTTGGTACACATGATACATCTATGGTAGAGGTCGATCCTTGCACTATTAAAACAAATTACCAACATGAATATTAGTAACTCAGTAAATATGAAACTAGAACTAAAACTGATCCCTTCTGAGCTTTTGTTGATCATCAAGAATGAAACTGACCTAACGTCATATGGTATATATACAGGACAGCTCATCACAATGAAACTATCCCTGCCTGGCATTAGGACATACATATGATAGAACATGATTTGATCAAGGAGGAACCTGTGAGCTGGTCCTGTTGCTAATGCCATCTGACAAAGCAAGCCTCCTCTTGGCAATCTTTGAACGATAACACCATGCTTCAAATGCTTCCGTAAGGTCTGGATAACGAGCATGCTCTGACCTCAACCATCCTGCCAATATTTCAGCTTGGCTCACAGATGGCAATGTGAGCAAAATTGAAATGAAAGCGGATTCCAATCCCTGCCAGATCTCACTGTCTATTTGAAGTGATGACCCTCCCTCACTATCCGAATTGGCTTGCTCCAACAAAGGCCTTGTCCTCTGCACAAATGGAAGCCAAACATTAACCAAACCAAGCCTCATTGCAGTTGCAACTATCACGTGTCCAAATCCAACTGCATCAAGAACCTTAGACGTCACTTCTATCACTTTCAATCTGGTCTCTGGCATGTGATCATCCTGATTCAATTTTTCAGTGACTCTAACTATGTTCAAAGATGCTTCCAACCAATAATGAACAAGATGCTTCATCATTTCCATCTTAGTTAAGATCTGGCAAACCCATGAAATGTCAGACAGGAAGGAGTGCATGTCACAGACCATAGTCATCTCAGAAACCATGTCTTGAGATGCATTTAAAAGAGATTCTATATGGTAATTGAATCTGCTCAGTAGATCTCTGACGCAATTCTTCACTTCTATTTTGATATCTTCATTGTCCAAGGTCAACAGTGGGGCATCATCATCCTCGGTGAGCATGTATTCAAGCTGATCTTGGGCAGAGGACTTCAGATCTCGCAAAGATGTTGAAGGTGATGATGTAGCAAAACGAATAGTGGATATGAAAACCCCAACCACTGAAATTGGATTGACGGGCTGGAGACGTGCAAGGATCTCCTCATATTGTGATCCAAGATGAGGTATGATCCTCAACATTTCTTCCTCCTCGGTCTCTTCCCAAGGAACGGACTCTAAGTAATCAATACAATCATGTGCCAGCTGATGGCAACCAAGGCGAACAGCAACCTGGAAGATACCAAGTGTATTTCTTACACCATACCTAGTTTGTGGTTCTGTCACATAAAGAAGCCGAAAGGCAATAACATGAAAATCAAACTCCAGTTCTTCACAGTAAACTTCCACACAGTACCGAGAATCAAGGATCTGACATGTTGGCCAGTCATCAGATAGACGTTCTGCAAAGTACTTGCTCTTCTCTATGAGAATCTCAGAGTGGCAGTAAAACCAATTGTCTCGCCCTTCATGGGTCCTTAGCCTTACGACAACATCGCTGGTAGTGCGATCTCCAAAACTATTGGGAGTCTTTGGTGTACGTTTAATTTTTAAACTCTGAAAAAGAAAATCATAAACAATGGGATAAGTTCAAAGTACAGTAACTAAACTATTTTTTGGTCTTCGAAGTTCACTCAATATAAGAGGATACATAACTAGCATAATGTATAAAAATTCAGTGATTGCTATAGAGAACAAGAACAGATTCACTGTTTCAAAGAGCCATCATCTTCGTTTGCATTTCTTTACATACTATAACAAAATCCTTTTCAAGTCACCTTGCAATCATTGAAACCAATTGGCTCCTCAATTGCATACATGCCAGAAGTCCAGTATAGTTGCAGCAAGATAAAAGATAATTCATCAAACTTGGTATGTGAATAATTCCACTTTTATGGATCAATGATGCTCTCCATCTTTGTTTCTCATATTATGACTACAATAAATGCATTAAACTCACCTCGTTGGAAATGGTTCTTTCTCTATGCTACCTAACGCCATTACGAGCACCTAAGAGTAAACATACCTTAAGCATTGCCACCTAGACTCCTCATACATCACTTGCTCCTATAACCATGGGTAGAGGGCAATACTCATTTTAGCTAAGTAATAAACAAGATATTAATTGATGGGCAGCAAATTTCATGCTTTTCTTTTCATATTGTGGTTTCGTAATTAGAAAGTTATAAGCTGTAGTTGTATTAGTCGAAGATGAAGTTTCTTTTAATTTATTTTAGATTAAAAGAAATGAGAACCGCTGGAATACTGAAGGTGCATACAGTTAATGAAAGGATAATTGTTCTGATGGGCATGAACCATGAATTTCCATAATCCCTATCTTTTATATCATATAATTTACTATATTTTGTGTGGCACAATTTTTTCTTAAACTTTGGATTTGCCTCTTCAGACCCATGTCTGCATGCCTTAAATCACCCTATCAGAAAAAGAGAAAAAAAAAAAAAAGACAATTTCTACACGGTATGGGCATAGACTTTAACCATTTCACTGATGTTTAAAGACAATGGGAGTGTTAAACTCAATAAAGATAGCATCCGAAATGAATTAGATGTAAAAAATTGAGTTGCTTCATGGCAATTCAAGAACAGCTAGGTTTAACTAAAGCACCAATTTTGTCACTCTTTACAAGTGCCACAAATTTCCAAGATCATAGTGGCTAGCTGAAACGAAACAAAAAGATCCCAATTTGTCTTCACCGTACCCTATTCAAAAACATCGAAATTCAACGAGAGATCAAACAAGCTTTGACAATGAACACAAGGCATTAGTCAAGATAGAGGAGGAGGAGGAGATGAGGACCGACGACCTGGAAGATGGGCGGGCGGGGAGGACCCGGGTCAGTACACCTCCCCGGGGACGGCGAACCTGGCGGCGTTGGGACCGCCGCCATGCGAGGCGCATTCTCCGATGGCGCGGCCAGACCGGGCGAAGCTGTGGTGTGGCACCGTCGGGTCCGACCAGAGCGGTGACGGCGAGAGGTGGGTTCGGTTGCCGAACCCACTCGAGGAGCGGGGCTTTCTCTCTGACAGTGTAGAGCACCAGCTAGATCTTATTAGCACTGTTTTGTTTTTGTTTTTTGTTTCTGTTTTTGTTTCCAGTACAACAGCCCATCTAACAAATAACTCATCGATCGATTTGGGCCTTCTAATGCTAATAATTAGTTTCCTTTTAATTAGTCGATGTGATTCCATTACTGAGATAAACACCCATTACAAGCCACGTGGCAGAAGTTAATCTAATTTTATGATCTCTTTAAAATTATTCTGATGCCGTGCTTCGTGATCCGTGAAGCCTTGATTCGTGAGGTCGATGCACGGCCTCGTCCTGGTGATTCCCGAGGGGGTATATGGATCCGTCGAAATAGCCGGCGTCCGTAAAGCCCAAGCACGGAGGAGGCGACGCCAGGGTCAGCCGCGACACGTGTGCCGACGGCTCCCCACACGATCTCTTCTCCTGGCCAGTAACTCCTGCAACTGCGTGCAGGCGAGCGCCATTCATGGCGTCTTAATTTACTACAATGACGTGATCTCCTTCTATCTCACTGTGGTTTCTTCACGTAGGAAGAGAAGGATTTGAAGTACCGTAAGACCATTTCGGAGAACGAATGTAAACAAAGACTCGAATATTACTCAGAAATTTACATTCCCGGATCATGCAAAATGCACCTGAAAAGAGGTGAAGGGAGAAATCTGTGGCTACTGTTCTCGGGTTTGGGATTGGGATTGGGGTAGGGGAGTCGCTGCACCCTCCGGCTGCTTGTCTTCTTCGTCGAGGTTTCCGTAGGCGGAGGTGGTAGTGTTGTCGGCTAGGCGGCCGGCAATGGGGACGGCGAGGAAGGTGGGGGCATGATCGCCGGCCATGATGACGAGGAACCGGTCGTCGAGGAAGGTGGGGTCCTTGCCGGCGGTGGCGTCGGCAGGCTTCTCGTGGTCGGAGTTGGTGGTGGCGTCGTCGTCATCGTTGCCGGGGTCGAGGTAGCCGGAGAGCTTCCAGTAGGAGCAGGCCAGGATGAGGAGGGCGAGGGCGATAAGGCCGAGCATCGCCGCCAGGCCGCCGAAGAGGTAGGGGACCGGCGACTGCCACGGCGAGTGGGGCCCGCCGGGGGCGGAGGAAGGCGCCGCTGCCTCAATTGTTCCACCGGTCTCGTGGAAACCTGCTGCCGTCCTCATAATAAGGCTCGCTTCGAGATCGGAGAGAGGAAGAGAGAAGAAGCTGATCGATCAATGGGGATGAGGGAAATGTACGAGGCTAAACGGTGTGAAGTATTTATAATGGCCGAGTAAGAAAAAGAGTTTCGCTTATTACCGCCCTATTTTACTTTTGATGACATCAACCCTTTATACCTAAACAAATATGCTGCATATTATAAATATTAGTTTTTGTTTTGAAGGGAAAAAAAACAGCATTATCTTACCAACTAATTAATACACTGATTTCTATGTAATTAAAAACAAAAAATAAAAAATACATTATACTGCATTTTATTTCTTTTCTCTTCTCTTGATCTCTCAATTATTGTGAAAATTACCTTTTTTTATTTATATTCTTAGGAATAAGAAAATACTTTTTATCTTATTATGAATTTTATTTAAAATATCCACTTAATAAATTATAAAGTTTTTATAAATGTTGGTGATGCAATCGAGATGTCGTTATATTCCAACAACTAATTTATAAATATTTTATAATGTTTATCAGTTTTTGATAAGGGGTTTTATTTTCTATTTTTATAATTTCATAAAAAAAAATTGATAATTCCATATTTATTTTCAGACTTAATTACGAGAACATAAAATTACAAATTTACTCTTATAATAAATACATGCAAATAGATTTTGATAGGTTCGTCTTTGAAGTGAATTTACTGTGAATTTGACTGACAACTTATCATAATGTCTCTTTGAACATATTAATTGGATATACCCAATTATTAGAAAATGGTGTAAAAGATGGGCAATTCAACTTCAAAAGCTAGCGAAAGTCACATATCATCATCATAATTAAGCTCGATTACAACTTTGATAAATATGTTGCAGCTAACGATAAGGCAATGCCGACTGTCCTTTTAGTACTCGTGGGATGCATAGGAAGGGACGTTTTGTCATATAAATATAAATAAATAACTATATATATATATATACATATATGAAATTTGTATTTCGAGAAATACACTTAAATAAATATACAGTTGTGAAATATTTTAAACATTTAAAAAATAAAATAAATAAATAATATTTTAAGTATGTATTGACGTGAGTGAGTATTGTTTGATCAAATTATATTTTAAAAATTATTAAATATTATATGATAAATTTATCATTCTAATATTTTAAATATTGATTCAAAAGTAAATACATATTTTTAAATTTAAATTAGTAAATAATATATATGTAATCTTGAAAACAATTTTATATGACTTAGATATATAATAAATAAATAAATAATAAATCATATAAATACATATTAAAATAATATTTAAAAATAAAATAAATAAATAAATAAATAAAACTTCACCTTATATGAGACATAAATCATATTATTTTTCACTAAATCACATTGATAATTTTATGATTTTAGATAATATCATATGTTACTTTAGAAATATAAAAAATATATAATAGCATCTTAAAAAGTGCTAATATTATCCGAGATAGTATTTGTAGTGCAACATAAAGCCAAATGCTACTTGAAAAGTATATTAGATCCTCGATGTATGTTTCAAATGTGTTTTCAAATACACCGTGTGTTCTATTAGAACCAATAGCCAAGAAAACATTATCTTGTTTATTTGAAATTATATCCATAAAATATATATTGGAGAATTGAAATGATCAAACATATACTCCCCTATAATGTGTTTCATATAGTTTTTTTTTCTTTTTTTAACAAGTGAGCATGTTAAGAATGTGGAGAAAATTTTTCAAAGTCCATACAACATGCTTCCATGG